AGGCAACAGAAAAGGGGAACTTAAGAAATAATGTAATGAAATGAGAAAGTTTCTCTGAAATAAATTAGTTCTGAATCTGTATATCCAGAAAACAGAATGCTCGAGAACAACCCTGATACGTAGATATTCTACACACATGAAGTGGAAAAATGGTGCAAAGCATTATGAGCACAAGTTGGTATATACACAGTTTCTGGAAGCATTCACAAGAAATTGTTGACCATGGTCATTTTGGGGATGTAAGACTGGGATGTACAGAGATAGGGAATGAGACTTTTTTCTTGTACCCTTCTATACTGCTTAACTTTTTCTACAACTTGCGTAAGTTACTTTTATAATTTTTAAATGCACATTAAATTAAAAAAAATATTTTGCTTAAAGTCAAGAATACAAGTTAGATTAGACTCATGGCAGTCAAATTTCCAGAAACTGGCTTTGGGCTAAAATGTGTTTCGGAAGACTTAATGAGAAAATCTTTACATGGGATGAATTCCCATGGAGTCAGTTCTGTAAAGATGCAAGAACACATCAGCTTGTTTCTTCAAACTCAAAAATCTGTTTTTCTCACCTAAAAAAAAAGTGTTTTATGGCCAATGCACACACCTCTCAAACCAAATTTTTAATCCATCTCTAAGCTGCATCTCAAAGCTAGTAAACAGTGAATTTGGGATTCTATCCCAAGAATTCTGAAAATCAATCACTTATTATAATCATAATTGTTAGAGGAGGCATAAGACTCTCTTAGTGTTCAAAAGGACCCAAATATGGTAGACCATAAACATGCATTTGACAAAATCCCGGGGTCCTGTATACTTATAGTTTAATTATAAACTATATTTTTCCAAAAAGTATGGGATATTAGGCTTTAAGGGGCCATTCGGAACACAGGAATAGTCGTTAATGTTTGTACAGTGCTTTGCTGGGTGCTGCAAATGATTAAACGCTCGGCTACTAGCCGAAATGTTGGCCATTCAAACCCACCCAGAGATGCCTTGGAAGAAAGGCCTGGCAATCTGCTTCTGAAGGGTCACAACCTTGAAAACTATGGACCAGGTTCTACTCTGTATTCACTGGGCCGCCATGAGTTGGACGGACTCAGGGGCAGCTAACAATAGCACACAACACACAATTTACAAATCCTCAGCACAGGTCTTAGTAGCAGGTACTATTTCATCGATCTAATTTCAATGTGGAGTAGAGAGGCTGAAGATTGTTCCCCAAAAACCACAAAGGAGTGAAGGGGCAAAGCCAGATGTGCCAGCCCAGGCAAGTCCTCGCCATTACCTCACAGTGCCTTCCAAGGCAGGACCATACCTGAGCTGTCCCAGACAGAAGAGAGTCTGCCCTGTGTGTTCTTATTCTCTGTGTTTATTTGCATGATGTTACGCCATTGAGCTGGGTGCTTTTAAAAGCAGACCACGGCTATTGCCACTGTTTGTTAAACACTGCTCCCTGGAGCAGGCAGAGAATACAGACTGCAGTCTGAGTTCTTAGTCATCTTGAATAGCATCAGGCAGGATAAACAGAGGGAAAAGCAGCTCTTAGTTTATCTGAATGAAGGAAACGATTGTGCACGCTCTGGTTTTTATTGGTATGTCTGTTCTTCCTTACCTTATTGCTGCCTTTTGCTTTTCTCCAGGAAGTTCAAAGAGACAATAAGAAAACAATCTACCTTGAAGGTCTCTCCCTAACCCTGATACCAACTTCATCATTTCCCTGCAGCTTTTCATGTCAGACACCTTTCATTTCCCAAGGCGCTCTGTTAATCTGGAGTCCCCCAGTAGCGCAAATTGTCAAGCGCTTGGCTACTAACCGAAAAGTTGGAGGTTCAAATCCACCCAGAGGCACCTTGGAAGAAAGGTCTGGCTACTTCTGAAAAGTCAGCCATTGAGAACCCTACAGAGCACAGTTCTATGTGAACACACATTGGGTTGCCATGAGTTGAAATAGACTTGGCGGCAGCTGAGTTTTTTTTGCTCCTGTTAATTTACCCACATTTCGTTCCATTTATATTTCTGCTTTCTTATGCTAAACACTCAATGGAGGAATTATAATTATGTAATAATTCCTTCCATTTATTGGACACCTACTGTCCGCCAGGCACTGTGGTAGGCACTTTATATATTATATGTCATCTCTAAATCTTACAGCAAACTCTACAAGGTCCAAGTCATTACTCCCACTTTGCAGATGAAGACACTGAAGCTGAGAGTGACTGAAAAACTGCACCACACAGAAGTCAGAGGCAGAGCTGGGATTCAGATCTGTCTGGCTTCAAAGCCAAGGTGCTCCTTCCAGTACACAGCACAAAGTAATGTTGCTGATTGCATTAACAAGTGAAAGAAGGAATTTAGTGGAAAAGTTCATTTTAAACTTATGTATTTTAATAGTTGGCATCACATTCTCTTTTCCCTGGCTCTTAAAAGGTGGGTTGGTGGTCTAAGGTGGTGAAATTCAAACTTAATACAAACTCAGCACCCCCGTATCATATCCCTTTACCAAGCTAAAGAGAATTATGACATATAATGGACCCTTCTGTTCTACTTTTTTTTCCACCTGATCAACTCTCAAAGGAAAACAGAATTCATGTGATCATTGAGGTCTAAAAATTAACTTTTATTTTAAATCTGTCAAGGATTCCTGGCAGTTCTTAATTTTATTAAAATGATTACATATGGCAAAACAAAGAAGAGAGGTAATTCTATTTCTCTACGACATAAATTACGAGTTAGATTCTCAGCTGCTGGCTCAGCATTGTTCAAGAGTCTCTGAAAGGATTGGGGGGGAGTTTTAATTTCCAGAAAATGTCCAAGCAGCAAAAGAAAAAAAATAAATTAAAGGTAATTGCAATTGGAGATATTGCCAAAGATGTACTCATTGTAAAATCTTCCTGACATGTTTATGGGTCAAATTCCAAACCGTGGTATTTAAAAAAAAAAAAACGTGGATACTGGCCTATATTGGCTTGTCTTTTATAGTTTTTAACACAGAACAAATCTGATTCTTTTTTTAAAAAAAGATGGCAAAAATGAGTCATGACTAATTCAAACAAAAAATAGCCAGGATTCATTTATCTAACTGAAATACGTCAAAACAAAACAAAAAATTTATTAAAATATTTAGTGCCAGAATAACTTATAATAGTATGAAAAAGAGTGAAGTACTTGTCCTTATTTTTCATTGACATGATCACACTATGACAAAAAAAAAATTGATTTGTTAAGATTCCAAAGTTTTCACCATGGATCTGTAACTATTCCAGGATTTAAATCAAAAGAACTCATACTTCATCTGATCATACAGTCATAACATACATATCCTGCTTTGCACTTACTGTTACTGCAAACAGCAATTTAGAAAAACAAAGTAAATATATTTATATATATATATACACACACAAAATATTTTTCTATCAAATTATCTTCAGTACACTAAATAAACCCAATCCCCAAATGCTATGTTACATGAAGAAGTGTCCCACAATTTATATCAAGACTGATATTGTCTGTGTATCAACTGGAGCAGCCTTTGGTTTTACAAGCATTTTGCAAAATAAGGAAAACTGTCACAACATGGGTGCACGATTGGTTTTCATACACCCTCACAAAAAATGCTTTCCAGTTAAAAAAAATTACAAAATAGATTATATATCCAGAAAAAAAAAAAATCCCACCATAAAAGAATCAACTCCTTTTCTGTTTTCTACAGCGCATACACTGTTACGTTTGGCATCTCTATTGTTTATTAACGCTTTGAGTCTCCCCAAGCTGATCAGAATATTATTGTTTGATTGAAAAAGATTCTCCTTTCTTAATATTGATTATTCTCACTCAATGGGAGTCTAACTTAGAAACAAAACGTTCTTTCTTTTAATGCGTGATTTCATTTACTTTTCATTTTAATGTCCCTACTTGGCGAAACCCAGAGACTGTTCCGTGTTTCGCGTTCCATGTGTTTTAAACTTAAAAATCAACTTTCTGTGTGTATATGTATATTCACAGACAGATACGTCCCTTTCACTGTCTTCTTCTCATTGCAACAGAAATTGTCCATCAGCGAGTGTAATTTGAAATGAACCAAATAAAAAGTTTTTGGTTATTCCATATGAAAACCAGTATCCATCACGAAAAACAGAGCTGTAATGCAAACAGTTCTACATTTTAAAACTAAACTATAGATTCAGTTCTATACAGGAAAATTTTGAGTTATTTAGGTAATTACGTTTTAAAAAAAACTTTGGCCCAACTCAAGAACAAGAAAATCCAAATTAACTCTAAAGGGCATCGTGGTGTTTTCCAGCGAGGCTTGAAAAAAAATGTTTCAAATCACAACGCATTCATTGTTATTTCCAATCAGTTTGAAGGAATTGCCTCTTAATGTACACATTACACAGATCACTTTCATTTTGGAAGTTTATAACGTATCAGATATGCAGGCAAGGAACATGCATAAGAATCCCACTGTCACCCCGAAAAGCACGTGGAACAATTTAAAATACTCTAGAATTTTTTAAAAGGAACGTTTCATTTGGGCTGAACCGATTCCCAAGTTTTAACATGTGAATTACTGAATCCTTTGTAAGGGCTTTCAGCAGTTATGGTTCCAGTCTATCTGGAGTGAGACACGCAGACTAATAAGCATAATGGCGGTGTCATTTGAGGCATAGCTGTCCCCTATGCCCACGTTGTAGCTTATTTTGGGAAGCAAGGCACTTAACTGTAATGGCAATGCAGACATTTGATGCATAGTTCGAGTAACATAAAATAAGTTAATATTTTTGATTAAAATGAGTTTTTTTTTATAACTTACATGTCTTTTATAGAAGCAACTAAATGATACTTTTAGGGTAATTAAAAACAAAGGTGAGGTGGGAAAGAACTGTTTCTCTGGCCCTGACGGGAAAGGAGGCATTGCTGCTCTTGCCACGGCTCTTAGGATGAGGACGTAGGAAAGATGGCCAACACGGAGAGCGCTCATCGGATCTGAAAAGCCACAAGCTCCTAGAAGGGCTGCAGGAGCGGCACTTTGACCGTCTTTACTTCTGCTATATGCGAAGACTTCTGGATGATGCAGCTGGCCGTGCCCTGCAGCTTGTCTTTCCCCTGCGCCAGATTTGTCAAGGCCATGGCTGCATTAATCTCCTTCCAGTACGTGTCGTCCTTGCTGGCTCCCTTTCTGTTGGCTGCACTGGATTGAAGCACAACAGAAAGACAACGATCAGACTCACTGCGTGCTACGCGGAAAAGGCCGCCACCAAAAGCACAAATGGCATAAAAATACATCCTGCTCACCTGTCACCCTTACTGGATCCATTTTCCAGAGTGTCTGTAAAGAAAAGCAAAGATTCAATTACTTCTCTTCTTAAAAAAAAAAAAAAAAAAAGTCAGGCATTTCACCATTACAAGGAATAAAACTTATTAGAAAATATGACTGAAAATCAGGGTTTATTTTTAACAAAGATAAAGCAGTTTAAATTAGTATGTTGTTGCTGTCAGGTGTCTTCACGTCAGTTCTGACTCGCTGTGATCCCATGTACCACAGAACAAAACACTGCCTGCTCCTGTGCCAGCCTCACGATCGTTGCTATGCCTGGGCTCATCCTTGCAGCCACTGTGTCAATCCAGCTCATTGAGGGTCTTCCCCTTTTTCGCTGACCCCTCTACTTCACCAAGCATGACGCACGAAAAAAAAATCTCTTTGCAAAGGAGTAGGAAATAAGATGCCTTCTGAGAGTAGGTAATAAAAAATCAGAAGGAGCTTTCACAGACACACCTGGATGGTACAAACTGTTATTGCTCTTGGTTGCTAACCAAAAGGTTGGTGGTTTGAATCTACCCAGAGGTGCCTAGGAAGAAAGGCTTGGTGATCTACGTCTGAAAATCTACGTCTGAAAATTTTCATGTGGTCGCCATGAGTCAGAGATAACTCGATGGCAACCGTTTATATTTTTTTTTTTTTTTCATGGAGATACAAAAATCATAGGTTAATTTACTCTGAGAAACCAGGCCTTTTCATCAGGAGGCAAAATGGCCCAGGGAAAAGAGTACCGACCGGACCTCGGAACGGGTTCTGGCCTCGCGGTATCACTCACCTACGGTCTACCTTTGGGCAGATCATCATGCCCCACGCTGTCTGGGATTCAGTTCCTCAAATGGAAAATAAGAGGGTTCCTGAAAGATCTCGAGGGTGCCTCTGGCTCTATATTCTACAATTCCACGGGAATCAAATCTTCATCACAAAAAAGTGACTGGCAAAT